TTATTTCAATTTAAAAAAAGCAAAAATAAAAATAAAAAAGTTAAATTGAAAAGAAAAACAACACAGAACAGATTTGTTTCGTGCCTCCCCAGAAGAATTTTTGATTTTTTGTGTTTACTTAAATAGAAAGCAAAAAAAGAAAAAAGCAACAATTGAATATGCTGATATGTACACAGTAGTTGACGGAAGGAGGGAGATGGGTAAGAAAAATAAAGAGTAGAAGCTTTTGGGTATCAAAAAACAAAGATTAATTACAAGTGACATAGTTTGATGGTAGCGGGTAACGGTGATTACCTAACTTCTATTCTTCTTTTTCGTTTCTTTTTTCTGTTTCTTTTCGTGTCCAACATCATAGAGCCGTCATCGGGTTTTTTTTCTACTGGAAAAAATATAAAGAGAAAAAAAAGCAAAATTTTTTTTCTGATTTGATTGGCATTTTTGAAAACAGAGCGAGAATTGTTATTAATGGCTGCTCGCAGAGGTTACTTCTGCTACTGTTACTGCTACCGCTGCCACTGCTGCTGCTTCTTCTGCTGCTACGGCTACTGGCGTCGAAATGATGTCGATGCTCTTCTGATTTTGTTCATCAGTTTAGTTTATTTAATTTTTACCGTTTAGTAGGTGCATTTTTTCTTTCACTTCTTCACCCTCTTAAATCATCAATTTAATGTTGTTAGCGAACTGAAGAAAAATGCTAGGAAATAATGACAAAAACAATAACAATAAATTTTAAAACTAATAATGTTCATTAATTCAAACATAAATCAGACTTTAACTTTACATTAAAGTTTGCTTGTATCACGGTGTTCAAAGCTGCACCTCAACAGCAGGACGTACTTTGTATGAACGTATATCTGTGTATTTATCTCCGTATTACCGAGTTGCTAAGATGAAAGTAATGCAAAAAAACACAACGGACAATGAAAAGGATTTCAACATCTTTCTTTTTTTCTACAACACTACATTATTCGCTAAAGCAAAACAGAACAACTAAACGGAGTCAGAAAGATACTAAAAAACCTGCACAGAAGTATAATTTGTAAGAAAATCATAAAGGGGAAATGATTAGTGGAGAAGAAAAAAACAATGACCTATTGAATTCAGAATGAAAAATAAAAAAAAGGCAGAAGAAATCAAACGTTAATTTTTTTTTCAACATGTCACTAGCGCAAATTGGTGAAAGATCAAGTTAAAAAAAAAAGAGCCAAAATGGAAAGAGAAAAGAGCGCATAAACACTTCCATTTCTATCCATTCGTTTCTTCAATAGTTTTTTTTAATTTAAAAAAGGAGCACAAAAAACGGCTACAATTGTTCGCAAAAAA